CAGAAATCGCCCTATGCCCGCGGCAATACCCACATGGTATCCTCATCATCCAACTGCCACCTATAGCGGACTGTTACGTTGTTCGCCAGCTCTTTGGGAGTGAGACAGGATGCCTGCTTGACCACCAAACGAAAGGACAATGGTTGCCCGACGAGTTGTGATGGCTCCTCCACTATCTGACCACGAGAGAGTCTTCCTTGATCTCCTCAATCCTCCTCCCCCACCTCCTCATCGGGTACAGTAGTACTACTACCATCTTTCGACAGAGGCCACACAGCGCACTTGAGTGTCCCCACCGGGCATCCTGTTGATGACGACATCACCTACCCCAGTACTGCTCATAAAGAGCTCACGTCACCCTACCTTGGCATCCAGCTCGTTCTCTAACTGCATCGTGAGAGACTCCAGGAAGATCCGTGCTATGCCTACCTCCCTCTCCAAACAGACAGGATCCCAGAAAGGGTCATCCTTATCCTGGAGCCTGGAGACATAACAACATGAATGACAGCATAGGGAACAAGACGTGCTCATCTATATAGCGTTGGCCCTCCTCACACCACGTGTCGAACATATCCCTCATCAAGAACACCCGATTCTCCAACGTCTCAGGAGTCCACCCATAAACTCGCAGACCTGCTAGCACTACTACGAGGGGGTGGATGAGCAGACACACCTCGATAGTCAACACCGACCAAGACTTCAGTGGTCCTCCTCTCTGCGCCTTCTGATGATCTCACTGACTTCACATGCAGTACCGTATTGAACCTATTATCACGACTCCTACAAGGCGTCTTTCTTGGCATCCCTCATCACGTATAAGGCCTGGCCATCTCCTTCGCTATCAGCGTTGCTTCCCTACACAGGGGCATCGCCAGCATCAACCGCTCATGAAGAACTCTCGAGTCGACCTCCTTCCATCTTCGCTCCGCCTGGACTCGTGAAGATACTATACCATCATTTTCCCCACTCCTGCACACCTCTGCCTCCTCCAACTCCTTTTTGTTTCCTCAGCATAGCCTCTCTCTCCCTCTCCGCCTCCTTCCTCTCAGACTTCAACTGCCTCCTCAACCTCTGCAACTCTTCCTCTCCCCCTAATATCACCTACCACTACCACACCACCGCACTCCTATCACCCTTCTGCGACTGCA